ATTTTGCTTATGTTTTTGTCATTACCCAGAGCGACGAATCTTACAAATCTTAATAAGATTTCCTAATAAGATTCTTAATAAGATTAGTAAGACGTGCCAGACGTGCAAGAAAACTAGTAAGATCTTATTAAGATTTGAAAGTTTTCGTGCAATTTACTAATAAGATTCGTAAGAAATGTTAGATATTAATAAGATTAGTAAAATTTATCTTAATTTCTTAGTAAGGTTTCCAAGTTATAGTATAAATTCTTAGTAAGATTTGTAAGATCTTATAAGATTATTTTGTATTTTTTCCGATCCTACTAAATTCCAAGCATATTTTCGCGTAGAGAATGCTAATAAACTAAACAATTAAGTACTTTAATTATTTTTTTCTCGAAACAATTTCATGATTAATAATACACCAGTGCTCGTGTTAAAGGGTCGTCCATAAATTACGTCACGCTTAGGAGAGGAGCAACATTTTCTTTTTTTAAGTTAAACTTTATTTTAATTAAAAGACTAATTGACTAAACCAAAACCCTCAGTTGATGTATCTAAATGTTATTTGTAAAATCAACTACGCCTAAATCTTACTTAGTCGATGTACACTCCTTTAACAGAGTAGTTACAGCCTGTTAACGGAATGTAACGGCTTTATGTGCAGGGCATGTTCTGCGCTTTGAATTTATATGGCTCAAATGTAAAACTTTATTTAGATGGTGCACAAAAGTTTGCAAAAACAATCTTTATGCACTAACTATAAAACACCGAGGGTCGAACCTGAAACCCTCGGTTTTCTAAACGGAGGCAGTATACACTTGGCCACGCTTCCGCTTCCGGATTGAAAAAGTTTGTATTTATAAAATATTCAATTCAACACATGATTATATATATATATATATATATAATATATATATATATATATATATATATATAAATATATATATATATATATTATTATTATTATATATATATATATTTTTTATATTATATTATATATATACACATTATATATATATATATATATATATATATATATATATATATATATATATATATATATATATATATATATATATATATATATATATATATATATATATATATAACTCTATAATTAGTACATTTAAAGCACAAATTAAGATAGTTGAATTATTTTTTACTAATTCCAAAGTCAGTGTTTTAAGGTTCATTTTTTTCACTCGATTCTTAATATGTTATATAAACTGGACACGGTCGTTTAGATATTAGTAAAAAGCGCTATGTTTAGGTACGCATGCGTAAAAAAATACGAAAAACTTTTGAACTTTTAAAATAGCTACGGTACTTAACTACAGAGAATATTTTATATGGCAACAGATAATTTGTTAATTGATTTCTGAAAAGCCAATGATGTAGCCTTATGTTTAACGTAAATCAATATAAAAATACAAAAACTTCACAAAAAATATAAATAAATAGAGGTAACAAAAGTCTTTGCGCGTTTAAACTTTATTTTAATTTAATACCTTTTTAATGTAAATCATAGATTTGGTTATTTATTTGAAATCAATTTTCTAAAAATCTGACCGTAGGATTTCAATAATTTTTTTTTTAAACTTCAGATAAATATGTTCTTTATGCATGATATTTTTCTAATCAATGCTTCAACTTTTTTTCCATTTAAAAAATTTGTTTTACTATTATGACTATTTCCTTATATATCAAAGTGCAAATTCATTAATTATTTTGTTAGTTAACATTTTTCTGACTATATAAATATGTATATATAAAAATATATATATATATATATATATATATTATATATTATATATATATATATTATATATATATATATATATATATATATATATATATATATATATATATATATATATATATATATATTTATACATACATACATATATACATACATACATACATACAAACATACATACATGTATGTATGTATGTGGGTATGAACAATTTTATTTTTATGCTCTAACTGGATTAAAAAATAATAGGCAACTTTAATAAAATTATTAATAAATAACAACATATAGCTATATAAATTTGAAATTTATCTTAGTAATAAATAAGATGATTATAATACAATCCACTTACCGTTCCAATCATGTGTTGAATCGAATATTTAAAAGCCACATAAAATCAAAATTGCTCACATTGTATTTTTATAATAAACACTTTTTATGTTACTTTTACCTGCAGAACCAAAAATCAGCTAAATTGCTATAATTTGTTTGTAATACATATTATATATATATATATATATATATAAATATATATATATATATATATATATATATATATATATATATAAATATATATAATATATATATATATATATATATATAAATATATATATATATATATATATATTATATATATATATATATATATATATATATATATATATATATATATATATATATATATATATATATATATATATATATATATATATATATATATATTATTATTATATTAATATATTAATATATATATATATATATATATATATATATATATTATTATTATATTAATATATTAATATATATATATATATATATATATATATATAAATATATATATATATATATATATATATATATATATATATTATATAAATATAAATATATATATTTATATATATATATATATATATATATATATATATATATATATATATATATATATATATATATATATATATATATATGTATATATATATATATATATATATATATATATATATATATATATATATATATATATATATATATATATATATATATATATAATATATATGTTAATATATATTTATATTTATATATATATATATACAAATATATATTATATGAGTGTGTGTACATTATTAAACACATATAGAGTGTATTATTGCACACACATATACATATATATGTGTATATAAGTTTGTATGTATGTATGTATATGTATATTATATATATATTATATATATATATATATATATATATATATATATATATTTATATATATATATATATATATATATATATATATATATATATATATATATATATATATATATATATATATATATTATTAAATACATTTATAAATAGTCACAACAGTAAAAACAATTTTTTATATTGAAAAAAAGTTGAAGCAGTGACCAGAAAAATATCATAAATATAGATCATATTTATCTGAAGTTTAAAAACAAAATTATTGAAATCCTATGGTTAGATTTTTAGAAAATTGATTTTAAATAAATAATGAAATTTATAATTTTTACTAAAAATTAATTTTTACTTTCTATTAATAAATTTTTACTAAAAATTTATTAATTGAAAATAAAGTTTAAGTACTCTAAAATATTTTTTATCCTTTTTTTATTTTTATTTTTGTGAATATTTTTATAATAATATACTGATCTACATTAAAAATAAGGCTACAACATAGAGTTTTTAGATATCAAATAACAAATAACACGGTTGCCATATAAAATATACTCTGTAGTTAAGGACCGTAGCCTTTTTAAAAGTTTAAAAATTTTTCGTATTTTTTCACGCATGCGTACCTAAACATAGCGCTTGTAAACGACCGTGTGGATTAGAAGCTCTTCATTGTAATTCTTATGTAAGACTAATGGCATTGGTTTAATAATATTGTTTGATAAATCTTAACTTTGTTTTTTAAATCTCGAACAAATCACTGTTAAATCAACGTTTGTTTACGTTTTTACTTCGATTTCTGCGCGCGCATAAATTTCATATTGAAACTGTGAAAAGGTGTATTTATCTCCGACAATACTTAAAAAATTGGCGCAAAATAAACAACCGACGACCGAGAGATATTATATGAAAATTTAATTTGAATTTAACTTGATAAGATCTTAGCAAGATCTTAAAAAGGTTTGTAGTTTTTTTCTCTCATTTATTTCTTATTAAGATCTTCGCAAGATCTTAACAAGATCTTTTAAGATCATTATAAGATTTATAGTTTTTTTCCCGTCATTTATTTCTTAATAAGAATTTAATAAGAATTTAATAAGATCTTAACAATTTGTTCAAAGAAATATTTCAGACAAATCTTATTAAGATACTAATAAGTTCTTACTAATTTATGTAAGATAAAAAAGATCTTATAGATCTTAGTAAGATTTGAAAAATTTGTCGCTTTGGGTATTCATATTTAGCTGAGCAATTACTGAGTAATTTGATTAACTTTACGTGAATAAAAATTTGACCAAAATTGCTGACGCTTTTTTTCACGTAAAGCTGACCAATTACTGAGTAAAAACAATTGCTTATTTTTTTTCACCCGGCCTAATGTCTATAATTGTTTGAGTTAATTAATTAGTATTTTTTTATGTTTTTTTTTGTCCTAATAGTTCCGTGTATAATTGTATAAATTAACATCGCTATCCTAAATGTGATACTAATTTTAAAAACCTATTCTTCCAATATATGATATATGTAAAATACTATATATATAATATATAACACATAAAAATATATTATACATGCTAAAATATTATTTTATAAATATAATTTTCTTACACTTGCAACGATTGCATGCTGAGTGGATACCTCTTCCGACTTATACTTCTTCCGGCTTGTACCTCTTCCGGCTTGTCTAAGGGTTCAAGATTCGCCTCTCGGTATCTAAATCATTATTTTTATAATTTTTCACCTAGTGAACAAAGATTGTTTTTTTGTTACTGCGCATTTTTACACACTAACTAACTAACTAAATAAAGTTCTGCACTTGGGCCACACTAAGTCAATGGGAAGAACGTGCACTGCACATAGACTGTTACAGCCGTAACAGGATGTAACTATTCCGTTTGCATCAACTAATTAAGATTTAAGCGTAGTTGGTTTTACAATAAACATGTACATACATCAACTGAGGGTTTTGGTTTGGTCAAATACTCTTTTAATTAAAAATGGTATTTTTTATGTTATAATATTTTTATTTAATATATTACAACAATATGTACAAATACTTTTAAAAAGTATAATTTATTTTAGAACTAAATTTCCTAATAAGACGATTTCCTATTACGATTACAGTAATGTAGCCTTTATGGAAAATGAATCAAAGAAAATGAGAATAAACAATGAAGATGAAGATTAAATAGAAACTACTGATAAAAGAACCTCAAAATGTTTGCACACTCATTTTAGTTAAAAAGTTGTTAATAGATTAAGAGACTAACTCACTAATAAAATTTTATTATGATTGTTGAAACAGTTTTTATTATAATTGTTGTTGTTATCATTGCTATCATCGTCATTATTATTGTTACTATTATTATTGTTTTTGTAAATATTATTGTTTTTGTTAATATTGTTGCCGCTGTTTTAGCGCGGAAATAATTTAAAGAAAGTATAGGAACGCGAAAAAAAGTTCAACCTCTCTGCCACTTTCAATAAAGGCTGAAAATAAGATAAATTATATTACTAAGGAATTAGCAACTGAACTTAACAAATAACTTTCAATAATAGATTTCAATATAACTTTAATAACTTTCAATATAATTTAACAATAACTTTTAATAATAAAATCGTCTAAAAAAAAAACAACGTTTGTATGAAGTATTTCTGAAAAAAAGAACCTATGTAAATGAACTAAGGTATAAAAAATATAAAAGTCACTTTGAATCAATTATAAAACTTTCAAAAAAGTTATACTACTCAAATAAAATAATAAAATTCAAAGGTGATACTCAAAAAACGTGGCAAGTCATTAAGGAAGTAATTGGAAAAAAAACAATTAAGTTAAATGGTCTTCCAAAGAAGCTTAATTACAATCATCAAGATATTACAAAAGAATCTCTAATTGCTAAAACGTTTAATGACGTATTTGTCAACGCAGTTCTAAATTTAGCTTCCAAACTAAAACACAGTGATTTTAACAAGGAGAAATACTTGACTCCTAGCAAATCAATAATGGAAAATGCGGAGTTAACCGAAAAAGAGTTATTAGATGCTGTTCTTTCATTAAAATTAAACAAATCACAAGGAGTTGATAACATTAGCAGTAATGTCATAATTAAATGTATCTTCTATATTAAAAAAATCCTTTTGCATATATTTAATCTTTCGTTTAAACAAGGAATCTTTCCAAAAAAACTTAAAATTGCAAGGGTAATACCAGTTTTTAAATCTGGAGATAATACTAATATTTCTAATTATAGACCTATTTCCATTCTTCCTTGCTTCTCAAAAATACTAGAACGCATTATGTATAACAAATTATATTCATATTTAGAAAAAAATAATATTCTATATAACAAACAATTTGGCTTCAAAACAGGACACTCTACTGATCATGCAATTCTTCATCTTGTTCAGATTATTTTTCAAGCTTTTGATAAAAACAAGTTCACTTTAGGTGTTTTCATTGATCTAAGTAAGGCGTTCGACACAGTTGATCATAGTATTTTAATTAAAAAATTAGAGAACTACGGTATCAAAAATATTAACATAGCTTGGTTTAAAAGCTACTTATCTAATAGAAAACAGTATATTTCATTCGGCAATAAAAAAACTAACAATATGACAATTACTTGCGGCGTTCCTCAAGGATCTATATTAGGACCACTCTTATTTTTAATTTATATTAATGATTTAAGCGAAGCCTCTAATATTCTAGATTCTATCTTATTTGCTGATGACACAAATTTATTTTATTCTCATAGTGATATAACAGCATTATTTAAAACAGTCAACATTGAACTCCTAAAACTAACTGAATGGTTAAATATGAACAAACTTTAAATTAATTTAACTAAAACTAAATATACTATTTTTCATCGTCTCCATAAAAAAGAAAAAATTCCTCTTGAACTTCCAAAACTTATTATTGGAGATTACATCGTAAAAAGAGAATGTTCGATGAAATTTTTAGGTATAATTCTAAATGAAAACATAAATTGGAAAGACCACATAAACATGATTGAAAATAAAATTTCTAAAAATATTGGATTACTCTATAAAGCAAAACCATTCTTAGATCAATCCTGCTTGAAATACATATATTACTCATTTATACATTCTTATCTTAATTATGCAAACATTGCTTGGTGTAGCACCAATAAAACAAAGATAAAAAGGCTATTTAGCAAACAAAAACATGCAATTAGATTATTATCAAATGCTCACCGCCTCTCACATTCAAGACCATTGTTTAACAATCTAAAAATACTAAATGTGTACCAAATAAATATATATCATCTTCTGATTTTTATGTATAAAATTAATAACAATTCAATACCAAATATCTTCAAACCATTATTTAATAAAATTCAACACAAATACGTAACTAAATATTCTAACAACAACTTTGTTCAACCCAAAACTATATACGACTCCACCAAGTTTTCAATAACTGTTAGAGGACCTAATGCATGGAATCAGATAATCAGTAATGATATTACCCAGCAAGGAAAAATACGTATATTATACATATAAAATACGTCTTTGTCCTACTCTTCGATACGTATATTCTAATTCTTAAATGCAAATCTATAATACGTATTAATTAGATGATTACAATGCGTTGGTAATAGATGTATAATATACGTATTTAAAATACGTCTCAGATATCTATAATTTAAGTATTAAATGCAAATCTATAATTCGTATTAACTAGATAAATAAGTGCGTTGATAATAGACGTATATAAGACGTATTTAAAATTATTAGGTTTCTATAATTTCTGTATTAAATGCAAATCTGTTTATTTATAGATGTCAAATCTGTAATACATGTTCGCAAAATGAAGAGTAGATTGTTGTATTATCTACCGTTGTATAATTATTGCGGAAATAGATTAATTTCTATCTTCGCAGCCATTGTTTTACCACAAAAATTGTGTTGTACAACCGACGTTAATTTGTGCAACTATGCTAGACAACGTTTCTATTATAAAACAAAGTTGTTACAGAACTGTTGTACAACATTTCTACAACTATTGGAAACCAAGCTTAAAAGAACATTAAAACATTTTGAATTGTATAATATTATTGTTTATTTATTTAAAAAAAGTAACTATATACTATAACATAAACTATATACATATAATATAATATTAATGTTAGATATCAATGGAATGGTTCAATCTTCCTGGTGCATTCTTTAGTTTATTCCCGACAACTCTAAATAATTCTTTTTCACTCACGGTATACCTGTCTTGTAACGCTTCTAAAATAAGTTAAGCAAAAATATTTAAAATTAAAAATATCGTCAGCTTAATATATATATAGTTGAATACGACACTTAAGTGTCGCATTTATCATTTTTGAAAAAAATGACTATGTACAATATAAATTGTATCTCACCAAACATAACGTCCTTTAACTTAAGGTTTTCAAACGATATTTTGTTTTCTCTGCCTTTACGTTTACTCCCTTTAATGTTCATATTCGCCATCAGGTTTACGGAAAATAATCTAAAATCGAAAAAATATTAAAGGTAAGATCTGAAAGTGAGATCTAAATGTTGTTAAATTCATTCTTGTTTACCGCTTATTTTGACTGTTATTGTATAAAAAAATGTAATTTAAAAAAAAGCTGCAACAAATTGTTTTAAAACAAATCAATCAGAACGCATAAAAAGTAAGTAGTGATTTTTTGGAAAACAAAAAGTGAAAACGCTATATTTTTCTTTGGATTTTACCTCAATACACTGAGTTTCTAAATTAAAATCCTTATTCATTTGTATGTTCATTTTAAAAAATGTGTATATTATTCTATATATTAAATCTACATATTATTTATCGTATATCTTACATTTTTTTACAAAAATTATGCTTTCTTAATTAAAAATAGAAAATAAAACATACTTTCCCAACATATTTCTGGTACAATCTGCCATATCCACACCACCAATATTCTTCAGTTTAGATAACTAAAAAAAAACGTTATTTAAAGCTTATTTAAGAAGTTTTCAACCCCTTTCTAAATAGACTGTTTAAAAGATATGATGTGTATGCTTTATTCAATATCCATTATTGTTATTGTCTCGCAGTGGAAGCTATTAAAGTTCCACCACTTATATGGAACCATCAGGCCGTAATAGTCTTAAGAGAAGCAAGAAATATTTTATATAAGTGCAAGGAAGTGCAAGATAAATTATAATATTTGGACAGATGTCCAGAATTAAGAGTTGTTGTTTAAAAGAAGGGTACTATTCAGTAATTAAGTTTGAGTTAAGTAAGTGGTGGTCATGTTAGATTTAAGTACGTGTTGTTGCAGTGTTCTGTAAGTTATTGTGTTTTGTGTTTGTATTGTTCTAAACGTTAAAGTTTTATGTGTCATTTAGTGTTTTTATTGCTTTGAATCTGTGTGTTCGTAAATAATGGTTCTTAGTCTCGCTCAGTCCAGTCTTATCATGTTCTCTTTACATATCAGGTTCGCAACTAGAATAAGTGAGTATAGTCACTAGTGGAACATATTTAGACGTAAATGCCTTAGACGCATGCAAACGTGCAAAAATACCTTAAAAGCATGCAACCTTATAACAAAAATATTCGTTTTAAATTTAGTTTATATACTCAAAGATCGACAAACACAATAGTTCTGTTTATTTATATGCAACCCGAATACCTTCAGCCACAGATAAAAACAAAAGAATATCTAAGTAAACCTATCTGAATTTATCAGATAAATATTCAAAAACATTTAACAAAAATCAAAACAATTATTAACAATTGCTATCGTTGTGGTAAGCATAATGTGATACACAATTAACCTAATATAACACAATTACTCAATTCTTTAGATAAAAAGTACAACTTTAAAGCAGAAGTATTACAACAAACAACAAAAACAAACATTTAATATAAAGTGGAAACTCGCGCATGATTGTTTAAAGAAAGAAAATAAAAATACATCAGCGTTAAAATAAAATTCAAAATTATGTAGTATAATACTAGATTCTCGTCAGGAAGTGGACATTGTATTGATCCTTATAAAGATAATACTCTGGTATTTGACGTTTCGAATGTTTTAATGCTCATTTCTAGAAACTCCCGTCGGGGTAACATCCTCAAAACAAGCAAATAAAACCCACCTCTACGTCTGCGTCAAAGCCTTCTTATGTTGCAACATTTGAGAGGACATACTACTGCTCAGCCAAATACCCTAACTTGATCCATTTTAAACAAATTACGCTGATATACTTTTTAGAAAATTATTAAAACACGTTGCGCAAGAAGTAACATTAGAATACAAAAAACTTATAAGTTAAATTATTCCTAAATACTCAAGTACAAATTGAAGGCA